AAAAGGCAAACTTAAAAACCTTTGGAAGAAAATATGGCATATCTTTATAACTTCAGGCACATATTTTCTCATTATTCATCATTACATTCTTCCAAAAAAGACATCTTATTTTACCCTGGCACTTGCAGATCTCACTAGACCTCTTCAGCCTGAATATTTTATTTATTTTTCACCTTTTCTCAATTAGTGCATTTCAAGAGACATCCATCTTTCTTTGATTTCCTTTCATTTATTCTCCTTATCACAAATTTCTAGTATAATTTTATACTAAGTAAACTGTCTGAATCTTATAAAGTTAAAGAGAAAAATAAAAAAATATGTCCTTCCTGAAAGCAAATAATTCCAAAGCAATTTGCTGAGTAAAGTGGGAAAGGAGCCCAAAGGGAAGAATCAAGGGAGGCTTTATTGAAGAGGCCAACACATGAATTGAATTGAGGGCTAAGAATGAGTTTACCTGGCAGCTAAAAGCGGGAAAGGGAAGAAGGAAAGAAGATATTCCAAGTAAAGACATGAAGGTTTAAGGGAGGACAATATAGTATGTTTGAGAAACAGCTATTGTTCAGTAAGCCTTTGAGATATATTTTACTGAATAGATAGGATTGGTAGCCAAGGCAGCTCACAAGGGACCTTGTGTTGCATATTAAACATTCAGGACTCAAATTTGTAATCAGTGGGGAGCCATTGGAAAGCTTGTAAACATGAAAATTACATCATTAGATGTTTGTGTTAGAAATATCAGATAGGGCCGGGTGCAGTGGCTCACGCCTGTAATCCCAGCACTTTGGGAGGCTGAGGCGGGCAGATCACGAGGTCAGGAGATCAAGACCATCCTGGCTAACATGGTGAAACCCCGTCTCTACTAAAAATATAAAAAATTAGCCAGGCGTGGTGGCGGGCGCCTGTAATCCCAGCTACTTGGGAGGCTGAGGCAGGAGAATGGCATGAACCTGAGAGGCAGAGGTTGCAGTGAGCTGAGATTGTGCCACTGTACTCCAGCCTGGGCAACAGAGTGAGACTGTCTAAAAAAAAAAAAAAAAAGAAAAGAAATATCAGATAGGCAGGAATATGTAGGGTACGTGAGGCAACAATTAACCTAATATTCTTCTATCAGTATAAGTTTCTACAGGGCGAACATTCATTTCCTGTAGGAAATGTTTGTCAATGTGGAAACTCAATGTCAGAAGGAACATGCTGCTTCTCTTGGGTGTAGGGTATGAACAGTACGACCTTCATCGATTAATAAACTCAGTTGGGAGTGGTATTAGTTACAGAAGTCTTTGTAGAGGTGATGGCTGAGCTCTACTTGAAACAAGAAAAGAGCACTCCAAATAAAGGAATAATGATGGAGACAGGAAGCACTGAAGCTTTTTGGAAAATGATGTTTAATTTAACATAGCAGAACTCATAATGCATGAAAGTGAAGGATATAAAATTTCACATTGGGCTGGGCGTGGTGGCTCACGCCTGTAATCCCAGCACTTGGTGTGCCAAGGTGGGTGGATCAAGACCCAACTGGGGTCTTGGGACTTCAAGACCAGCCTAACCAACATGGAGAAACCCCATCTCTACTAAAAATACAAAATTAGCCAGGCGTGGTGGCACATGCCTATAATGTCAGCCACTTGGGAGGCTGAGGCAGGATAATTGCTTGAACCCGGGAGGTGGAGGTTGTAGTGAGCCAAGAAGGCGTCATTGCACTCCAGCCTGTGCAACAAGAGCGAAATTCCCTCTCAATAAATAAATACATACATACATACATACATACATAAATAAAATCTCACATTGGAAGGAAACTTTAAAGGTCATCTCTTACCACCTTCTAATCATTCCTGTAAAGCCCCTGCTTGAGCTCCTTGTGTGACAGGGGCTGGGCACTGACTATCTCCTGGCAGTCTTTCTATTTCAGAAGGTTCTGGAAGGCAGTAATTTTTTACCTTGAGCCAAATCTGTCTTCTTAGTACAGCTTCACTTTTAACTTAGGACTGTATGAGGCAACACATATCTTTTCCATACACAAGAGTTTCAGTAACTTAAAAATAGCTATTAAGTACGTTTGATTGGTTTCTCAGAGGATGTGGTCTACCACTCTACCCTTTTTCTACTGAAGATTTTCTAGTGTGTCTATATTCCTTTTAAAATGTGGTGCCTGATACAGAATACAAGATGCATGCAAACTCAAGATTATTCATCTAGGTACTATACTTCTGTTGCTTAAGGCAGGACCATACTGAACCTTGAAAGTCAGGGCAAGGACTTTGAATTTTGTTCTTTCAGGTATTGGGAAGCAATGGAAGGTTTTGAGCAGGTAAACATTTTGGGAGCGGGCGCCATATCTTACTATGTATATCCCATTGATTCTAACTGGAATGTAAGCTCTAGGTATCTGTCCCATTCATAGCATGGCTTCAGTACCTGGGGAGGGCTGGCATATTTTATGTATTTAATACACCTACATGAATGACTTAATACAAATCTCTATCAGTGTCTGGCACATAGTGTGTACAACAATTCATACTTGTTTAATTCAGGCAGGTAAATGATCAAAGCCATACTTCAGGAGGATAACTGGCAAGAGTGCGTAAAAAGTATTGGAGATAACACACACTATAGGGTGAAAACAACAAGAGGAGTTTTAGCAGTCTCAACAAGGGGAAACAAGGGTTAGGATAACATAGTGAGTAACAGAAAAGAAAGAATGGATGTGAGATTGTAAAAGAGAATTTGTGACGACCTAAAAATTAAATGGACATGTAGAAGGAGGAAGTGATAAAGAAAACTCTTGGGCTTGAATTTGGAAAGCTGAAAGAAAAATGTTGCCATTCATAGAAGTTATTTTAGGAGTTGCAGAGTTTTTTTTTTTTTAATTTTTTAATTATTATTATTATTTTTGAGACAGAGTCTTGCTCTGTCGCCCAGGCTGAAGTGCAGTGGTGCGATCTCAGCTCATTGTAAGCACTGTTTCCCGGGTTCACGCCATTCTCCTGCCTCGGCCTTCTGAGTAGCTGGGACTACAGGCACCTGCTGCCATGCCTGGCTAAGTTTTTGTATTTTTTAGTGGAGATGGGGTTTCACTGTGTTAGCCAGGATGGTCTCGATCTCCTGACCTTATGATCTACCCGCCTTGGCCTCCCAGAGTGCTGGGATTACAGGCGTAAACTACTGCGCCCGGAGGAGTGGCAGATATTTTAAGGTACTAGGATGAAATCAGTCTGGGGTAGGCTGAATTTAAATGCGCTGACACAATATGCTCAGGAGGCTAAAATGTGGGACTGGAATTCAGAAGTAGAGTGATATCGGCTAGGCACCGTGACTCATTCCTATAATCCCAGCACTTTGAGAGGCTGAGGCGGGTGCTTGAGCCCAGGAATTCGAGACCAGTCTGGGCATCATAGCAAGACCCCATCTCTGCAAAAAAACAAAAACAAAAACAAATTAGCCCGCTGTGGTGGCACGCACCTGTAGTCCCTCCCAGCTACTCAGGAGGGTGATGTGGGAGGATCAGTTGAGCCCAGGAGATCAAGGCTGCAGTGAGCCATGATCGCACCACTGCATTCCAGCCTGGGTGACAAAGCAAACCCCTGTCTCAATAAATAAATAAATAAAATAAAATAAAATAAAAATACATTCTTATTAGAAAGAAAAATGTTGATGTTTTGTTTCTAAGTATGCCATGTATATTTTTTACTCATTTTCATATGCAGTGATCCAGATTTTGCATGGTCTAAAGTTTATACAACATGGGAGTCTTTCTTTAAGGAAAGAATAAAAGATTTAAAATACAAAATTAGGACCAGGTGCAGTGGCTCACCCCTGTAATCCCAGTACTTTGGGAGGCCGAGGTGGGGGGATCACCTTCGGTCAGGAGTTTGAGACCAGCCTGGCCAACATGGTGAAACCCTGTCTCTACTAAAAAGCACAAAAAATTAGCCAGGTGTGGTGGTGCATGCCTGTAGTCCCTGCTACTCGGGAGGCTGAAGCAGGAGAATTGCTTGAACCTGGGAGGCAGAGGTTGCAGTGAGCCAAGATTGTGCCACTGCACTCCAGCCTAGGCGACAGAGACTCTGTCTCAAAAAATAAAATAAAATAAAATAAATTAGGTAAAATGTTTTCAAAATGGGGGGAAAAGTCACAACAAATTTACTTCTTAGGCAAAATAGCTTTTCTTGAGAAATACACTTTCAAAAATGGTAGAGCTAAAATCTGTTTTTCCAAAGAGAATATCTGTCCTATAATTTTTTTTTAAGTGGCTTTTAAGGTTCTTGTTTTGTTTGAGATGAGAAGCTGCACTTCTCGGGATTAGAGTAGGAGAAAGGAGGTGTGTTGTGAAGCTATTGGTTTATGTTAAATTTGGACCTACTACAGTAAGAATCAGAATAATGGCATTTACAAATCCTTGGCAACATCAATTCCACTTTCAGTTCCAGAAAGATCCATCACCTTTTCCTTTCTCTGTGTTCCTTTTCCACATCACTTCATTCTTCCCACCTGCAATGCCCTGCCATTCTTGAAGAAGACCAAAATACTAAAAAGACTCAGTTTTTCTCTCCTGGCCATAAGTTTAGTGCAAAGAGAGAGATGATGGTGAAGAAACACAATAATGCAGCTTTTTTACTATAATCCTTAAAAATCAAAGACACTCTCTGGCTAATAAGACTAATCAGAGGTCCCCCCAACTTTCCTCAAAAACAGACTATGCCCAAGACATCCCTTCTCGGATAAAAATTTAACTTTTCCTAAAAGGCTCTAACGGAAAAGGTCTCAGGCTGAGACAGAAGGGTTGCTTGAGCCCAGGAGTTTGAGTTCAGTCTGGGCATCATAGCAAGATCCTCCTGCCTCTAAAAAAAAAAAAAATAATAATAATAAAAAAACTCTTTACTTCCTTCAGTCATTTCCCCCATGATTTCCCAAGTTCATAGCAAGGTGTTATTACACTCAGAAGAATTGCTGGAATTTATCCCAGTGAAAACTCCACCAGGAAGGCCATGTGGGTAGTTACTTACCTTCTGAGAGCCGATATCCAAGGCTAGATTCACCTGTTGCCAGAGCAGTCTCCTCCTACTCAAGTACATCTCTTGTCAGTCTCTGTTTTTGTCAACCTCTTCTCACAAAAGGAGAGTGGTTGGTAGCTCTCTCTCTTCCCCACTCCCAAGCTGAACTCAGAAGCTTCATGAATAGTTCAACTGAAACAGGATCAAGTTTCAGACACTCCCACACTGAGAAAATGATCCCACTAGATTAAATTGGAGCCTAGATCAGTGGAGGACTATTTCCACAACTTTGCCAGGGCTGGGACAGCCATCATTAAAAGCTCAGGTAAAAATTTCTTTCTTTCTTTCTTTTTTTTTTTTTTCTTTTTTTGAGACAGCATCTCGCTCTGTTGCCCAGGCTGGAGTGCAGTGGTGCGATCTTGGCTCACTGCAACCTCTACCTCCCGGGTTCAAGTGATCTTCTGCCTCAGCCTCCCAAGTAGCTGGGACTACAAGTGCATGCCACCATGCCCAGCTAATGTTTGTATTTTTAGTATAGACGGGGTTTCACCATATTGGCCAGGCTGGTCTCAAACTGCTGACCTTGTGTTCCGCCCTTCTTGGCCTCCCAAAGTGCTGGGATTACAGGTATGAGCCACCATTCCCGGCCTCAGGTAAAAACTTCTAAGTAGGATCATATGAGTGGTAGAGGATGGATTGGTAGCCAGCTTTTTGGTCTATGCAATGGGTCTCTGAATTAGCAGTATCTCCCAGGGACTTGTTAGAAATGCAAATCCTTGGACCCTTATCCTGGTCCTAATGAATAAGAAACATTGGGGGTGTTGGCCTGTGTGTGTGTGTGTGTGTGTGTGTGTGTGTGTGTGTGTGTGTGTATTTAAGAGATGGCGTCTCACTATGTTGCCCAGGCTGGAGTGCAGTGGCTATTCACAGGTGAATCACAGTGCACTACAGCCTCAAACTCCTGGGCTCAAGTGATCCTCCTGCCTCAGCCTCCCGAGTAGCTGGGACTATTGGCATGCACCACTACTTCCTGCGGCATTTGTGTTTTAACCAGCTTCTCTAGGTGATTGTGATGTATGCTTAAGTTTGAGAACTACTTGTCAATAGGATTAGTGATGCTTTAAAATGTTTTCCCTCTTTCCTCAGAAGAATTTACTTGACACATTTGATTTAAAAAGTCAAAACTGGCCCAGTCATGGTGGCTCATGCCAGTAATCCCAGCACTTTCGGAGGCTGAGGTAGATGGATCATTTGAGGTCGGGAGTTAGAGACCAGCCTGGCCATCATGGCAAAACTCTGTCTCTACTAAAAATACAAAAATTGGCCGGGTCTGGTGGTGTGCGCTTGTGGTCCCAGCTACTCAGGAGGCAGAGGTTGCAGTGAGCCGAGATCGCGCCACTGGACTCCAGCCTGGGCGACAGAGCCAGTCTCCATCTCAAAAAAAAAAAAAAAAATCTGCTTTATTCTTTTTAATGGCTGCTAAGTACTCAAGTACTCCATTTTCTCTATTGGTAGGCTTTTGTATTGTTTCAAATATCTTATTATAGCAACATTGCAATAAATATCCGTGTGTGTGTGTGTGTGTGTGTATGTGTGTGTGTATATATATATATTTTTTTTTTGAGATAGAGTCTCACTCTGTCTACTCAGGCTGGAGTGACAGCCTTGTATATATATTTCTCTGTGCACTTGTGGAAATGTTTTTGTGGAATAAGTTCCTCCAAATATTAAAAATGTAAATGATAGGTTGCAGGATATACACATTTGGAATTTTAATAGCTATTACCAAATTACACACTAAAAAGGTTATAGTAATTTACACTCCCATCAAATAGGCATGAAAGTGCCTTTTCTTTTTTTTCACAGCTTCACCAGTATAAGTTACACAGAGTCTCTGAAATATTTGTTGAGCTAATTGGCTAAAAACAATATCTTAGTTTTTAGGCCAGGGATGGTGGCTCATGCCTGTCATCCCAGCACTTGGGGAGGCTGAGGCAGGTGGATTGCCTGAGGTTAGGAGTTCGAGATCAACCTGACCAACATGGTGAAACCCTGTCTCTACTAAAAATACAAAAAATTAGCCGGACATGGTGGCTTGCGCCTGTAATCCCAGCTACATGGGTGGCCGAAGCAGGAGAATCACTTGAACCCGGGAGGGTGAGGTTGCGGTGAGCTGAGATTGCGCCACTGCACTCTAGCCTGAGTAACAGAATGAGAAATCGAGACTGTGTCTCAAGAAAAAACAAAACAAAGCAAAACAAAACAAAAAAACAAAAAAAACCCACAATATATTTTTGTTCTGTTTCGTTTTCGTTTGTTTTTGTTTTTGGTTTTTTGAGATGGAGTCTTGCTCTGTCGCCCAGGCTATGCAGTGGTGCGATCTCGGCTCACTGCAAACTCTGCCTCCGGGGTTCAAGTGATTCTCCTACCTCAGCCTCCTGAGTAGCTGGGATTACAGGCACACACCACCATGCCTGGCTAATTTTTGTATTTTTAGTAGAGATGGGGTTTCACCATGTTGGTCAGGCTGGTCTTGAACTCCTGACCTCAGGTGATCTGCCTGCCTCGGCCTCCCAAAGTGCTGGGATTACAGGTATGAGCCACCGCGCCTGGCCCAATATCTCAGTTTTTAAAAAATTGCATTTCTTTAATTACTATAGTATTTGAATCTCTATTGAGTTACATATTTTATAGATACATACAAACCTATCTTCACCTTACCTATCATTTTCCCTTTTGACTGAGCTATTAATCTTTCACTTACTGATTTGAAGATGTATATCTATCTACAAACATAAGTACACAGTTACATTTTTACACATTTTTTACATATTAATAACTTTTTGTGATATATGTGGTTCCCAGTGCCTATCCTCTGCAACTCCAATGCTCTCATTTTTGAATTTGCTATCAACATCAGTTTCCAGAATTAAACCTCTCTTCTCAGTCCAATAACTTCTGACTTCATTTGTTTCCCAGCTCAGTCTCATCCCCTTTCAGAGATGTTTAAACTAGGCTCTTCTGTAATTCTAGAATCTTCCATCTTCAAGATACTGATCAGTCCATCATCTCTCCAATTGTGGGCAAACTGTTCACTTTCCTCAGGTTTCTGAGTATTGACAGAAATTACAATGCTCCATAGTTTCATGAAAATTTATGCATTCTAACTTTGTTTAGTTCCCCAGAGCAATTGGTGATCATTTTTGTTTCCTTTTTCTACTCCTGTGGCAGATTATTCACAGTCATTTTGTTCATACCTAGTTGACTTCCCAACCAATTGTTTACAGTTGTGCAGCTACACCCAACCCCATTTCTACCTCTTATTCCCAGCAGAAGTTTTACCTGCTACTTTTCTTTGAGAATCAAAGTCATCACACATGAGTTCCCTTTCCTCCACTTCAAAATGTCTACACATTTTTAGAAAAAGGGTATCTTGGTTTTCTAAGAACACTTTCACATGCTGCCCAACCCTGTCTCCTTCTCTCCCCTAGTACCAGTCTTGTTTTCTCAGGCATATGTATTTCTTGCATTTATTTATTTTTTATTTTTTGAGACAGACTCTTGCTCTGTCACTCAGGCTGGAGTGCAGTGGCGCAATCTGGGGTCACTGCAACTTCCAGCTCCCGGGCTCAAGTGATTCTCGTGCCTCAGCCTCCCGAGTAGGCAGGATTACAGGCGTGCAACACCACGCCTAGCTAGTTTTTATATTTTCAGTAGAGACGAGGTTTTGCCCTGTTGGCCAGGCTGGTCTCGAACTCCTGATCTCAGGTGATTCACCCACCTTGGCCTCCCAAAGTGCTGGAATTATAGGCGTGAGCCATCACGCCTGGGTGTTTCTTGCATTTTTAGTTTGCTCCTTTCCACAAGCTCAACCTATAGACATATTTTATTATTTCCACCCCTAGCCTAACCCATATCACAGCCTACCATTTGATTATTTTTCTCTTGTCATGTTTCTTGAAAAAGTAATCTGTGCTAACTAGCTGTGTCTACTTAGTTTCTACTCACTTCTCACCCACTTGCAATCTCGTTTCCATTCCTTAGATGTGCTCATAGGCTGGGCGTGGTGGCTCACGCCTGTAATCCCAGCACTTTGGGAGGCCAAGGTGGTGGTGAGGTGAGGAAATTACCTGAGGTGAGGAGTCCGAGACCAGCATCTGTGAAACCCCGTCTCTACTAAAAATACAATAATTAGCTAGGCATGGTGGCAGGCGCCTGTAATCCCAGCTAGTCGGGTGGCTGAGGCAGGAGAATCGCTTGAATCGGGGAGGCGGAGGTTGCGGTGAGCCAAGATCATGCCATTGCACTCCAGTCTGGGCAACAAGAGCAAAACTCCATTTCCAAAAAAAAAAAAAAATTATTTGTTGTTTATCCAGCATTCAAATCAAACTGGCTTACCTTTATTTTTATTTGCTAAATCTGGCAACCATACCCAGAGACACTTAATAAAACTTTGGAGGCTGGTCTGAGTGCCTTGGTGTTTACGACTAATTGATCCCAATCAGTTACAGATTTCTTTGTTCCTTCACTTGACTGGTCTTAAACACAAACAAACAAAAACTAAATAAACTAAATAATTAAAAACCAAAAAACTAAATAATTAAAAAACCAGTTTACCATAAAGAGTTAACAGAAAAAAAACTGTAATTTTCTATTAATTTACAAATTAATATAAAAATAATAGTAATAGTATTAGTAATGGTTAAATATTGGTAAGCTGAAAATGTGTATAAAAACATGTAGGTCAGACTTCACAGTCAACTGATTTCTTAATTTTTAAAAATTTGCTAACTGGCATCCTGATCTGATCTGTTAATTTTTATTTCTACTAAAATTAGAAAATCTGTATTTACAGTGAGTTTGTCAGATATGGCAAGAAGTGTTTGATGGTTACCAGATAATTCTGAATAGTTGGAGCTTACAAGGATCTATTGGAGAATTTCTAGTGAAAGCATTCAGTGGTTTGTCAGATTCTAAGCAGAAGAGCAAAGAGCCTCAAAAGTCAAATGCTTCAACTTGAGAGAGAGCAGGAGTTGTATTCAGTTGCATTGGCTACATTCAGCTCTGGGAAGC